AGGCACATGCCACCACGCCCAGCTTGAAATTCACTCTTGGTTTGTATTCTTTCTCATATTTAATTTACAAAATAAAAAATAGTCACTTACAAATCTGATCTCATTATCACAACTGTACCTCGGAAAAGCAGCTTGCAATTCTCTATGGGAGATAATCAGGTAAACATGTTACCAAACAATAATTAATAATTCAATATCCTTTAAGTTCAAAGGTAGGGTAAATCTATGTATGCTACTTATAATTTAGTTGAGATTGATTATTCAAGTATCAGAAATATTAGTCCTTAAAACGTTATCATTCTGTAGTGCAAAAAATATATGTATATATGTACACAAAACAAACTACTGGACAACAAAAAAGAAATGTAATTAAGTTTTTCTTGTGAGCTCCAAATCCATGTCATTCTGAGGTCATCCAGGCCCAGCAGTCTTCTTGAGCAAAACATCATTTTCTTCAGTTCAGTTTTCTTCTCCTTCTTTGGTAATATAAATGCACCAACCACTGGGCAATAAAAGGCCATATAATAGCAAAAGTTAATGCACCAGGAGACATCTCAAATGGCCACCAAGATGGTCTCTGTAAGGACTGATTGCTGGACTGCAATGCTGATAATTTTGCCTGTGAAGCAGTTAGTGTTTCAAGTTTATGGAGCCTTTGCAGGACGTTCTGCATGTTCTCCTGCAACCGCATGAGCACAAGAGCAATCTGCTCATTGAGGCTGCCTCGTGAGCCCCTGTCTGAGCCCCAGCGCTCCCCATCACCTCCACTTCCCATTTGTCGGCCCTTGTTCCCCTCACTCAGATGTGGTATCCTATGCCCTCTTGCTCTTCTGACATTAGAGAACTCCTCACTTTCTCCACCTCGCTTCTCATGGTGTGGTGCTCCACTGTTATTTCTGCCATCTTCTCCACCATGCTTTATTTCACCTTTTCCTTCAACTGCTACCACCTGCACAGTCCCACTACTGCCATTTCCAGGTGGTACTTGAACATCGTCAGGAAAACCAGAATTTTCCAATGGCTTGTCGGAATCATTCCTCACATAATATTGAAATGGTCCAGTGTTTGCCATAAAAGTATCTGAAGACTCTTCTTGTCCAAATTGCTCCATAGAATCACAGTAAACTTCACTGTCTGAATCACTTGTCAAATGCTGAATCCCTGAAACATCTTCAACATGATCATCATTTATATCTTGGTGGAGGCAGACCAGACAGCAGTTTTCCCAGTTTCCTCCCAGCTTTGCTCCACAGGTTTTCCTTCTTCAGCACTTGCAACATTCAGAGAAGTGGTCTGAATGTCATCTTGGATATCCTGAATAAAGCTGTCTTTATTATAGCCATTAGTGACAATGATTTCCAAATTCTTATGCTCTCTTGATTTCATCATTTTATCGTTATCACTTTGTTCTTTTCCCTTTACTTCCTCCTGAACCTCTTCTTCCTCTGACTCGGCTCCACTATCACTGCTTTCAGCTTTCCCATTAACAGTTTTGGCATTTGGAGTAGAAGTCAGAACATTACCAAGATCTGAGGTTAAATCAGAACTCCTGCCACTCTTTTTGTCTTCCACAATTTCATAAAATGGACCTATGACATGTAGCAGTTCTTCAACTTTCTCAGTCATTGGCATAGTTTCAATAATCTTTTTCATTTCTTCCACATATGCAATCATGGCTTCTTCTTTAGTCATATCACCCAATGAACTCCAAGCATCCCATTTATATCTTCCAATAGGATCCCAGAATCCAGGTCTTGAAAGTTTGCAGGGTCCTTCAGTTGCCTGTTTATAGAAACTATAGAACTTGAGCATCATTTCATGTGTTGGCTGGAATGAACCATTTTTCGGCAAACTCTGGATCACCTTGACCGCCGCCTCGAACCTGGTCTCGTGCACGGATTTCGTGTCCGCCATCTCCAGCTGCCCGCGCCGGCCGTGGTCCCAAGAGCTGTCCGCAGGAATCAGGCAGCACCAGCAGCACCAGCTTCCCCAAGAGCCTGCATGAAAAGAAAGGAAAAGCATCTCAAGCAGCTTTTGGACTCTTTGTTGAAGATGAAATAGCTGAATGTGTAAGGGGATTTTTTGGTACCTTCAGTTCTGTTGCATTAATTCTGTACTGTACCTGTTTTGTTTCAGTACTGTGTTATTTTTATCATGATTATTTTATAGTATAGCTTGAAGTCAGATATTGCTATGTCTCCTGCTTTGCTCTGGTTGCCTAAAGATATTTTTGCTATTCTGTGTCTCTTCTGGTAGGATATAAATTTTAAGATAATTTTTTCAAGGTGTGTAAAGTATACTGCTGTTACTTTAATTGTGACTGCATTGAATTTGTATAATAATTTTGGGTGTATGAAATTTTGACAATCTGCCTATCCAGGACCAGAGGACATCTTTGCATTTTCTTTTTTTGGTACTGGGAATAGAACTCAGGATCCTGGAGTTGCCAGACAGGTGCTATGCCACTGAGCTATATCCCCCATCTTTGCATTTTCTGATGTCCTCTTTAATATTGTTTTTCAGAGTACTGTGGTTTTCTTTGTACAGGTTTCTCATTCCTTTGTTAGATTAATTCCTAGGTATTTCATTTTTCTTGAAAATACTATAAATTGTTATTTTAGTAATTTCCTTCTCGGGGTCAGAGAGATAGTTCAGAGGTCTAAAACGCCTGCTTAGGCAAGCTAAGGTAAGCACTCAGGGACCGCGGTTTGATCCCTGGCACCACATGCCATTCCAGTTCCACCCCGGGCTGAGCTGGCCACACACACAAAAAATAATTTCCTTCTCATTCTGTCCATTGTTGGTGTATAAAAATGCTAATGACTTTTGTGAGTTGATCTTGTATCCTGCTATACTTCTAAAGTGTGTTACTAATCCTAAGAGTATTTTGGTAGAGTTTTTTTGACCTTCTATATAGAGTATCATGTCATCTGCACATAATGATAATTTGAGTTCTTCATTATTTATATGTACCCTTTTTTTCTCTTGCCTAATCACTCTGGCTAATGTTTCAAATACTATGCTGAATAGAAGGGGTGATGGTGGAGAACCTTGTCTGGTTCCTGAATTTGGAGGGAATGCTTTTAGATTTTCCATGTTGAGTATGATTTTAGCCATTGATTTGTCATATGTAACTTCTATCATATTTGGGTGTGGTTTTCTATACCTGTGTTCTTCAGAATTTTTATCAGGACAAGGTATTGGATTTTGTCAAAGGCCTTTTATGCATCTGTTGATATATAGTTTTTGAACTTGCTTCTACTATGTAATGCATTACATTTATTGACTTATATATGTTGAACGAGCCTTCCATCACTGAGATGAAACCTGCTTGAAAATTATGTACAATCTTCTTGATAATGTGCTGCATTTATTTTGCTAGTATGTTGTTGAGGAGTTTTGCCTCTGTGTTTATCAATGAGACTGCCCTATTTTTTTCCTTTTTGGATGAGTCTTTGTCTGGTTCTGAGATCAGGGTGATGCTGACTTCCGTAAATGATTGTTTTTTCATTCTATTAATCTGTTTATTGATTATTCCCTTTCTAAATCCTTTTCTTTTTCCAGTTTTTTTTTAAGGAAGGGTTCACAGGGTGTTCAGGGTCTCACTACTAGATCAGACTTATAGTAATCTGCCTGTTTACAGCCTCCTAAGAGCTGGGATTACAGGTGTGCACCACCATGCCCTGTCTCAATTTCAGTCTCAGCATGCGCTGGGGGCAGGGCCAGCACCACAGGCCTAGGGATCGAACCCGTGGACCCTGCGCCTGCTTGCAGGCACTTTAATCCACTGAGCTATTCGGCCCACCCTTCTTTTTTCATTTTTTAAAGAAAAATAAACAATAAAAACAGTGCTATAAAATTTCAAAACAAAATAGATTGTAGGAGAGTAAAAGTCATTAGTACATTGTATTTTTTAATGATCAATACATTTTATTACATATTAGCAGTTGCCAAGCAGACACTTAGTATATTCTATATTATTATCTTCAAAGTAGTTGCTCACCTCACAAGCACAAATGAGTTTTGGAGCATGCTATCTCTTTCAATTTTTTTAAAGAGTTTGAGGAGTATTGATGATATAACACCCTTAAAGGTTTTATACAATTCAGCAGTGGGTTTGTCAGGTTCTAGGCTATTTAGTTGGTAAATTCTTTATTACTGTGCCAGTTTCATTGCTTGTTGTTAGATTGTTAAGTATATTAATGTCTTCTTGGGTTAGTTTTGGTAGTTTATATGGGTCAAAGAATTTATCCACTTTTTTTTTGTTTTTACAATTTGCTACTTTGCTGGAATATAATTTTTCAAAGTGGTTACTATCTTCTGCAGTGCATGCTGTGATTTCAGCCTTTTCATTTCTAATTGCATTGATGTGAGTCTTTTCTTGCTTTCTCTTGGAAAGTCTAGCTAAGGGTTTGCTATTTTACTTTTCTTTTAAAGAACAAGCCATTCATTTTTTTTCCAGCTTTAAAAAAATCTCAATTTAATTGATTTCTACTCTCATAATTTACTTTCTTAATTTCACTTTGGGGCTGGTTTGTTGTTGTTTTTCAAGTATTTTAAGATTTCTCATAAATTTGTCTATTTGAGCTTGCTCTGTTTTCCTAATGGGGGCATTGTCTGTGATGAATTTTCCTTTTAGAACTTCTTGGGATGGCCAAATAGCTCAGAGGATTAAAGTGCCTGCAAGCAGGCGCAGGGGCAGGGGTTCAGTCCTCAGGCCTGCCATGCCGGACTTGTCCCCAGGGTGCGCTGAGACTGCAATTGAGACTGGGCATGGTGGCATGCACTTGTAATCCCACCTC